TTGAAACAAGTGCTCACCCGGCAGAGACGTAGCTGTGCACGGTCCTTCGAGAAGGGGAAGCACCGACAAAATGCCCTGCTCGAAGGTGGCTCTGGGCAGCTAGTGAGCCAAGGCGTCCGTTTCTGCCCCTCTTGAGTGAGGGCCTGCGGATGGGATTGTCTGGGCCATGTAACAGGCGCTGACGGTCCTAGCTGCTCGAGATCGGACCGAGGGCGTGGCCAGAAATTCTGACACATGTATAACCCATACATGGACCAAGCAACACAGAGGTCCAGTGCACTTTGCATGGGAACGCCTATATATACGAAAGGGGTGAACATGGTTCCATTGACAACTGACTGACAGGGGGTGCTCGGCGGTCGAGCAGTGGACACCAGGCGGGTTTGCCTATACTCCTGCAGCTCTCTTGCAAGGGAAGCCGCAGTGGCTCCATTGCGGACAGGGCTGCGACGCGTGTCACTCCCTATCGAAATGACCAGACCAGCATTGTACTCAAGGTGCGCTTCAGTGAACAGCAGCATACCGGACCTGATGCAGCTCGTTTGTAGCCAACTAGATCAGTCCACTGAAATTGCCGCTGCGCCAGTTCGACTAGGTCCTGCACCTCAAAGAGAGTGAGCGGCGCAAAAATCAGCCCGTAATTGACTGGACCAGGCTAGGAAGTGCTTGCGCTGGGAAGTAGACAAACATGTCATTGATGGGGAGCTCTTGCTGTCCATGAGTCATTCCCCGTAGGACATGATAACTGTCTGCGTGAGTGTGAGGGCATTGACTTCAATCCAACGTCGTCGGCCTGGCTGGGTCCGCTTTCACCTCCGCTGTGCGCCGCAGCTGAGCGATGTTGGAAGCGCAACACTTGGAGCAAAAGGCAAGTAGCCCATACTGCCAAAACTGGGGGTTGGCACAGAGAGCCAGATGCTTCTTGTCAACGAAGGTGCACAGGTGGCCTTGGGAAGGCGAAGAGATTAGCCAGCGGCACTGCCAGCGCATTGCTAATTTTGAGCCAGTCATCAATTAACTCTTCCTTTATTTCGTTTGGTATGCGTCCGAAGTAGGTGCCTCGGAACTCCCGCTGGGTGCGGAAGTCTTCAGTTACGTCAACGCCTGGAAAACTGCAAGAGTAGTTATGGACATCCATGCCTGTTGGCAGGTTGGTTTCTCCGAGAATGCCTTCCTGAAGGACGCTTCGTGGCCGTCTCACTTGTTTTCCATGTGGCGTCTGTCGCCACAGGCGAGTGGAGAGAGATGGCTTGCTTCTCTGCCTCTTGTATCCGTATCAGACGCAATTTGAACTTGGAAAGTTGTTTGTCTGCGTGGGCCAGTAGCGCCCATAACCAGGAGGCCTGCTTCCGGAGGTAATACGAGATCCGAGCCTGGTGCATTCAGCGTGGCTCCTGGCGCCATGCATCACAGATATAGATTTTTGTGCAGTGCGGTAGGCCTGTGCCCCTTTGGCCCTGAGTGGCACTTTGTGTGGGCTGGTGCCGCTGGGCCGTCCCACGCTGAATTTGCGTCAGGATCTTTGCTTGTCTGTCAAGTTCTTCCCCGGGAAGTGGGGCCGGTCCGGCATGTCGTTTCGGTTCCTGGCAGGAGAGACTTACTTGGAGCGAGTCGTTGGTGAGCATGGTATGCACACCATGTGGAAGAGCCGCGCAATGCTCCAGGAATGCCATACATGTTGACAGGTCAGCGCTGTGAGATCTGTGGGGCTACGGCCACACGAGTGGAGCGGAATGTTCTAAAGGTGGAGACTCTGCATGTTTAAAGAGGGGGAGAGAACCAAAACCAAAAAACAACAAACAGAACCAAAACACAAACAAACCACCAAAACAAAAAGCCCCCCCAAGGAGAAACCTGCAGAGTTTTCGCAGTACGCAAGGGTGAGACATGGTGAAGCATGGGAAACACTGCAACTAGCTGGCCGGGCCTCGAATTCTCGAATCATCTGCTGTTCATGCTTCCTTAACAGCAAAGCCCACAGAGTGCGGGAAGTGTGCGAGATGCTGTCCAGGAGGGATGGAGTTGGCATTCATCAGTCGGTCGCCTCCTTCATGCATGGCCCTTGTGAAACATGGTGAAACGTGAAAAGGCTGGCATTGTATGCCCACTTTGTGCAGGATTGGCAGGGTACAGACCCTTACCAGGCAAGGAACCAAGGTTCTCACCCGGGTGCCAATCAGCTACCTTTCTACCGTCGCGTGCGGACACCGGTCAGGAGCTGAGGCTCGCAACCGGGCCAGCTCACTGGCAGCGCGCAAGTATGGGCATATTTGGCAGTGGCTTGTCCTACAGGGTGAAGAGGGGTGTTCCCAGACATCTGCCACCCTTTAGTGCTGCTCCGGAACCTGCAGAAGAGGAGGCGCCCAGTGCACTAAGCACTGAAGAATGCGATTCCCACATGGACAGTTGTGAGGGAGCGATGGACGACAAGCAAGAGGGTGACAGCCTTAGCAATTGCCCTGTTCCTTCCATGACATCCAGGGCACCCAGGCCACCTGACACAGGATGATGAGAGCACTGCTCTCCCGCCCTGCGGAGTTGACAACAGCGAGGAAGACTCTTCCTCCAATGCGTCTGAGTCCCCGGTCAAAAAGACGTCCGGCTGCCAAGGCCATGACATGGAGAGGCGCCTGCGCACACCGCACACATGGCGTCCGTACTCGTGCAAAAAAAAGGCGAACAAGAGTACACTATGGAGGATCTTGCATGCCAGTCAGAACCTGCAAGAGGGCAACAGTCGACAGTGATCAGGCCATGCCGCCCGAAAGGTCCCAAGACAACGCATGCAGGCAACAAGCGGAAACCGCCGAAATCGACTTGGTGGATGCAAGCTCTCCTAGAAGAGGTCGAGCAGGCGGGCACGGTGGCAACTGACCTCGCGCTGGCTGCGGAACAAGCAGCCATGCAAGCCATGCATGACCGGCGAGCCAGCGCAAGATATTCCACAACCGCCCATGCACGTGTCAGCAACCGACCGCGCGAATGGATGGCCAGGTTGTGTGTATCATACAAACAAGTCAACAAATATGTTCGCGCAGTAGTCTGGAGAAGGGTGGCTGAACTAGGGCTCCGTGGTGTCCATTTCAAACAAATCCCGAACCAGGTGAATGCAGACCTAGTAGGGGACTTGCTGGTAGTTAGCAATGCACTGGCTGCGCCTCTTGCTAACTTATTCGCCTTTCTGGCCCAAGGCCATCCACAGTGCACTTTTGTTGACAAGGCACACCTAGCCCTTTGCGCCGATCTCCAATTCTGGCAATACGGCCTACTTGCTTTCTGTTCCGTGTGTTGTGCCTGCAATATAAACAAGTTACGGCGCGCAGCTGAAGCAAAAGCCGACCCAGCCAAGCAGGCGAGCTATCCGACGGCTGAAGTCAATGCTCTGACCCTCATGCAGACTGTCATCATGTCCTTTGCAAGGGGAATGAATCATGGGGAGCAAGAAGTCCCCATTAATGACATGTATGTATATTTCCCAGTGCAAGTACTCCCGAGCCTTGTTCGGTCAATGACTGATAATCAATTCCAACCTGCGAAGCTGGATGCTGGTCTGGGCTACCGCACGACCAAAGACCAGTTGCAAGACAATCCCTACCTAGTGGTAGGTGCTTACCGGAAAACAATTGAGTACGCTGGTAATCCAATGACCTGTGCAACCTCTGCGCACATGCGTCTCCACCCGTGCAAAAAAAAAGAGCTGGTAATCCAACGATGCCTGACACGCAGTGGGCTGCTAGAGCTTTTGAATCGGGAGCGCTTGATCCCTCGCTTGGGCAATCGACGGCATTCCCTTCATCAGCCAGGATGCTGCTTCGCATAGAAGTCCCCTGGTGGTCGGATGTAAAGGTAGCAAGACATCCCCCACCAAAGACCAATGCAAGTGAATCTGAGGCTGAATCGAGCATCACAGGCACACGAGAACCATCACCGATATTTGCGCAACCGGTGCCTAATGTGGGTGACGAGGATCTGAACCAGCCAGAGGAACTGCCCTCAGAAGAGGAGGAGCAGGAAACGGACCCAACCTACATTGTCCCACGGTCACGGGCGGTTTGTTTTTCGGTACCCGAGATTGATCAACGCGGCCGACAATTTTGAGAAAGGCAATGCCCGAGCGGAGAGCAAGATCATCTCCAACTGGCTGACCACAGCACCGCCACAAGCCGGTGTTGCATCCCTGTCACTCTCCTCCCCTCGGGGAGGAGTTGTCCCCGATGATAGGCGTGCCTCAATTTCGAGCCTGCATGGAAGCGGCTACACTGCAGCTTTGCTTGCGACAGCCTGAAGCTCTCGTAAGCTGCTAGCCGTGGTTTTCCCCTGTGCCATATCCATGCTGCCTTGCGAGCGCACTCACTCCACTCACTCCACTCACTCCACTCACTCAGTCAGCCAGTCAGTCACTCAGTCAGTCAGTCAGTCACTCACTCACTCA